CGGCTATTTTTTGGTTGCAGCCGTCATTGTTGTTTTTTTGGCGGGTCCGGGCTGGGGATTCGAACCTGCCACCTTAGGTGTACGTGGTTGGCGCCTTAGCCGGTTGAGCTATAGGCGCCAAGCCGAAAAATCAAGATTTGAACCTAGGACACTGAAACCAAAATCATGACTCTGAGTCACTGCTCACTAATGAATTAGAACATTCATTGTTTCATCCCATAAAATATATGGACCCCTCTAGCCCCATGGAAATAGGAATCTGGCATAACCCTTTAGAGAGAATGCCATCTGATGGGAGAAATGATTGCACTTTAAGGTAGGAAGGGAAAGTAGCATTAGAAGCCACCGTGGGGAGGAGCCACCTCCAGCTGCTGGGTCAACAGTAGGCAGAATTGGATGAGGGGGAGGCACCTGGGAGAGAGACCAGTGTGGGCAAAGGCACTGGGCAGGGATTATCAAGTCGTGAGGGGGCAGGGCTTTGTGAGGTTGGGCAATGAGGGTCAGTGGTCTAGGGTGCTCAGGCACCACCTGCAACAGCCAGTCTGGGTCCTCTGGGGGGAGTCACAGGAAGCCCCAAGGATGCCACTGCTGTGCTACCTCTGCCATGGGAGTGTCAGTCAGTGCCTGTGAGGGTCAGTGGACCCTGGGGGTGGGGCAGAGCCAGAGCAGCAGAGGTCCCCCTGCTGCCATCTGAGTTTCACCTGAAGTCTCAATCCCATGATCTTTCTTTCCTTTTCATTGCCAAGGACATAAGTAACGATGGATGTATGTCTGCATTGTGAAGAGGCTCAAATGAATATTCTATTCAAAACTTCCATTAGCTGAGCATTTGCTGTGGGCCAGGCCCTGTACTGGGCACTCTGGCTATGAGAGGTCAGTGCTGTCACTAGCCATCTCTTAGAAACGGTGGCTGCACTGCCTGCCATCCTCACCTGCAATGGACCTGCAATGGGACTAGGGATGGCCCAAGTCTGTTTGGCTTTGAGGTCTGTGTTCTTTTTTTTTTTTTTTTTTTTGAGATGGAGGCTCAAGCTATCCCCCTGGGTAGAGTGCTATGGCAT